AAAGAAGGAATTGTCCCTTTAAAATTACTTGCAAGCAATTTTTCATGTAGTATCTTAGACACATCAATTATACTGGGATAATAAGCATGTATGATTAGCCTTTTTGTTCCTGTCTTAAGAACCAATGTAAGCTATTCCACAATATATTGGTTGATGTTGATTGTATTTCTGTCATAAAATTTATCTGGGTCTGTTGGAGACACATTGAAATCTGCCAAGGATTTTGTGCATGAGTTTTCCCTGTCATCACACATTGAAAGTAACATCTGATTGAGTTGTCCTCACCAGAGAGGACTAAAATTTCAATCCCAAAAGAACTTTCTGTGGAGGCAGAAATGGCCATAAACTTATTAAAAAAAGAAAAAAAAAGCAGATAAAGTAATGGGTCTTCTTTCAGAGGAACTTTCCCTAAAAAATAAAAAAAAATTATGCAAGGAGTAAAGTAGTGAAAAAGGCTACGACATCAACAACAAAGCTCTCTTCTCTCTCCTTTCATCAAACCTTTACCTTGCTATAGTTATTAATACTTTATTCTTAAATCTGTATAGTGCACTGTATTGATTAAAAGGTTTGGATTAGTTTATATAACTACATCATACTTTTGTTTTGTGGTTTTTAGATGTATATAATCAGTACATACAGAACCGGTTTTTTAAAAACTGGAGTACAGAGGTTTTGGGAGAGACAAATTAAACAGAGTGATTAATTTCAAATATTCGTGTTCCAAAAGTTGTTAAGTCAATGTAATATTGTTCTGTCACAACCCCACTAAATTTTGCTAAAACATTCAGTAGTCTGTAACATGATTTAATAGCGTAAGCTATTGTTACACTGATTTGTTTGCAGTTGCATTATTTTAGTACAAAAGGAAGTATTAGCAAGAACTAGAACCTGAAAGCTCAATGTCCATTTCAATGTTTAAAATTCTACTAGGAAAAAATTCTGACTTAAACCTCTAAACTGATTTCATAAGCCTCTAAAATCTAGTGATTTTGCTTTCTCTTTTTCTAACAGAAGTGTCTCAAACATGTTCCTTAGCATCAGCAGCAGTTATGTGAGGCCTGCATTAATGTTCGTGGTAAAGTGTCTCTCTCCAAAGATCGGAATATTTGTGTAACCAATAACCTGCAACAATTGCTTCAGAAGTAGATTATGGCCCATTATGGAGCAATAATCATTGCCAGGGTATATATGTAACAAAAGCTTTTCAAGCCTATGCCAGGACCCCAAGGAATGGGATCAAACACAATCTCATTATAAGCATAGGTTTGTAAGATCATGACTGTGTTATTCATTAATACAGACAAGCAAGTCTGTGAATAACCTACTAAGAGAGAGAGAGAAAGCTTGGTGAGAAAAAATCCATCTTCTTCCTGATTCTATCAATCTAATTCCAAACCCAAACAACAAAAACTCAACGAGTTTCTTTTTACAATTCATGAGTTCTGGATAAAGTTTATAAGGGAGGGTAATTTATCTGAACTTCTGATACTTAAAACACAATAACATTTTTGCCCCAAATAAAATCTATGCCTTTGCAATTTTATCTCTCAGCAATTATTCTGAGCTGGTTTAAAACTCCTCTCTTTCTCACTCACCTGTACAGTAGATACCTACTCCATCCACACCTTTTGCCTTTTCCTGATTTAGATCATACCTTAAGAAGCACTAAATGAAAAGCATGAATGTGATCAAGTGTTCAATTTCATTTAGGGTACCTTTCTCAATATGGGGCTTTCCAGATATATCAAACATCCATAAATTTGTTCAACTTCCATAAAGCCTACACAACACGGCTTTTACAAACTAAAATTCAACACATCTCAAGAGTTCCAGGTTGGAGAAAGCTGAAATGTACCTGCTTCAGAAGCACTGTGATTCCCACCCCCCATGGTTCTAATAACAAGGCCTTGAACTCCCCCAAATCTATAAAAAATGTCATGAATCCTAAACTGGACTTTATCATAAAATATGACAAAAACACATCAGTTCCAAACATTGTTTACAGAGAACATCATAAACAAAAAATCATTTTTCATGTGAAAAGCATAAGGAACTCCATAATGATACTATTATGAGTGACAATGCAGTTGAGTAGAAAAAAAGTACTTACTATTCTTGTGAATCTATGAACTCTCAAGTAATATTCCACAGCACTTGCATGGAATATTGCTGTGCCTTTACTTTGTGTGTAGTTTTCTTTACTTGTGGTATTTTAATTAAGATGTAGTTGCCATGCAAGTATTGTTAAACTATTAAAGCAACTAAATGTTTAATTATCATTGAGTATTAATGAACCTTGCCTTTTCATCTTTTAATGTCAAGGCCAATTTCAATGCTTCATATCTTATAGAGTAAAGTATTAATATACAATAAGAGCTCTTGGGAAATCTGTAATCTTTGTATGAGAAAAACTGCCAAAGAATGTGACAGAGGAAAAAACCATTTTTAGTCTAGAGCTGAATCCAAATCAAATGATTAAATAGAGATATCAGAAAAGACATAATGATAAATGTATTGCTACAAATTTACAAATGTAATGAGGAACATTTTTAATGAAGAGATTTGCTGGGATCTGTAACAGGATTTATCAAATCAATGTCATGTATGGTGACAATCAACAAACAAGCATTAAAACAAGCAATTACAATCACTGCCTGAAACATGCACTCATTTTAATGTAAAGCAAAGAGCTAAAATAAAAAGCCTTGGAATGCTAAGGAAATAAGTCTAATTTTTTCTATCAGGTACAGGAACTGATAAATGATACAGGAGATCTTGTTCAGGACTGCTTTTTGTAGTAAAGATTTGTGGTAAAGAATTACTTGAAAATTATCATATCTGCAATTGATTTTCAGCTTTTTAAAAAAGCATAATGATAAAAAAGATGAAGTACAGAACATCCTATATACTAAAAATTTTGCAGGTAACAATATTGCCAAGGCTGGTGAGGGAGCAAGATATCTTCTCTACACACACAGACGTACACATACATGTCATGATTACAGTCAACCATCCTCAGCTTCTGATTTCAGAAAGAATAAAGCTTGAGTTCAAGATAATAGTACCACATTCCAAAGAAGTTAATTGCCATGATACAAACTTAACAGCAATTAAAACAGTCCCACTGGCTACACATTAGCATCTCAGATAGACTCATTTGGCTTAGTTAAAAGGTTTACTTTTAGTTAAAATATTTACTTTTAACTAAAAGTAAATTTAGGGCATGTTGTTAAAACAGTCACACAATAGTTTAATCCAGGGTTTCTCCAGCATTATTAACTTGATCCTTTCCTCCCTCCTTTTCAAATTTACCTCCCTGACACCACCCCACTGCAGCATCAACTCGCTGCTGCAGATACTCACATGCCATTATTGGCACACATGCATGAATTGTAGATTTGGAATATAATCTGACTACTATACCAGAAGAGGGACTGAACCCAATGAGAAGAGGAACAAGACATTTCTATCCCCCTCTTTCAAATATATGGATATATGGTTAGATAAAAATTCTCATTTATGTCAGTTGATTGGACTGATGGCAGTCACCTCACAGCTCCAGTACAGATCAGAGAAAGTGCTCTGCCCCTGGACTTCACTCTCCCTGTATCTACCTCATGCAGGGAGAGAAGGATCCACCTGCTTAGTATGTTGTACAGCCTCTGAAAGCAGTAGCCCAGCATTTGAACACAAGATATAATCTATCCTAGAGAAGTGGAAGGTAAGAACATCTTTATTTGCAAACAGATCCAGCTGTTACACATAAGAACATATTCTATACCAAAAAACGTACATGTTAGCAAATGAGGACTATTGTTAAACTAAATATAAGAGCTGAAAATGTGTAAGGAGGGAATAAATCCTACTATCTTCCCTGGTTATACATAGAAGAACATAAGCAAACTACACAGCTTTTACTAGTACTATCGCACAGAACCAACCTATGCAGCTTTATCTGCCTTGTTTTCCTTTATTTACATAATGTAACTTTTTCGTAAATGTAAAAGGTCAGTAATAGGAGCGTAGAAGTTAGCAAGCTTCTGCACAGTAAAATCTGACAGGAGGTAATACAACACTCATCTTCAACCAAAACCAACACCAACCTATTTGCTTTATTGCTTTATCATTTAGCTGATTCCCAGGAAATTGGACTCAGGGCAATTAAGATTTATAAGCTAAATGCTTTTAAAATTGTATCTGAGGGAAAGTCAAATCTAAATTAGATCAACCCAGGCTTTTAGACTTTCAGCTAGTTGCCTTCGGAGCAAGTGCATTGCTATACAGAGACCATCTCCTCTTACACATCCTTTCCAAAACACTGACAGGCATATCCTTAGGCAGAATCCCCATAATAAAAAATCTATCTGTCTACCGCTAGGAAGCTATTTTGCCCAGTTCACCAAAACAGGTTGAAAATGTTTGGGTAATACTGAAAGACTTGGTGGAGGGATAGCAAAAGGAATGTGGTGTTTAAAAAGCAAACCTCCAGTTAAAAGCACTTCAGAGGGTTCTCTCTATTTTTTTGCTAAGGCGGACTGTCAAGAAGGAGGCATACATCACTGCCTTTCCCGGGGCACTTTAAAATGCCCATAAATGTTGTACGTGTACCACAACGGGATACATAAAAAGCAGATAAGAAGAGGTATGCTTATTCTGAATCCTCGTTTTATTTACTCTGTAAGAAACGTTATGCTTTCTCCAAGGAGCACAAGGATGTATGCTTCTTAAGCATCCAAAATGTACAGTGGAAAAAGATGTATGTCTCCACATATCAAACTGCAGGAATTGCCAATTTAATTACTGTTTAGCATATATATCTGAACCTTGTTTAAATCAGTAAACAGCACATTCTTACAAATAAGGGGGGGGGAATTAAAAACTGTAAAACCGAACGATCCGGCCGATTCTCCCTCGCTCTCCTGTTACTTTTCTCCCGTTCTCCCCGTACCTGCCCACCGGTCGGTTCCCGGTCCCCAGCCCAAGCGCCGCTCACTCACATGTCGGTGACTTTCTCCCGCTCGCTCCTCTTGCCAAGCACGGGGAAGGACACGAGGCTCGCCGCGGCTTCGCTGCACCAGATCCGCTCGGGACTGCACGTGCACGAGGTGGGGCAGGCGGAGGCGAGCAGCCCCCGCCAGGCGCCCAGCATCAGCCAACACAAGCTCCAGAAGCGAGTCGCCGTCGCCTGGGGCGAGCCCTGAAGCCGCTGCCGCC